ATTAAATGCAAATTACAAAGGGAAAAGTAGACAGTTGCAGCAACAATCAAGCTACTCCAGGTTTCAGGATCTGGATCAATTCACATAACACTCTGAACAGAAAATGAAATCCAGAGGGAAAGAGCAAAAATAAAGATAAAATAACAAACATTTTAAACAATAATCTGAAGAAGTTTTCAAATTTTTAACTTTTCTTACAACTGTCACAAACACCATTTACCGCTATAAAACCAGTATTTTTTTTTTAGCTTAGCCTCCTAATTTCAGTTCTTACATCTGTCAGTACTAGTTTAAATAAGATATTAGACAACATGTTCTGAATTATTTCTCCCTATAAAATTATCCAGGACCAACACCTTGAAACTGATTGCATTTACAAATGCAATTTACAGCTCTTTCACAGTTCTAAAGCTTAATTCAAAGCCAAATAATTTAGATATGTAAAAGAAAACTTAAGACAGATCCTTTAAGGCAGTAGTATCTAAAGAGGTTGCCACTTGAGCTTTTTTTTGGTAAAGCAATTTTTTGGTTGCAGCTGTAGAGCAACTACCAAGTAGCCTCAGTTCCTCCTGCTCAGTCATTTCATCTTACGCTGTCTTTCCAATCCTGCAGTCCTCCTCTTCTCCTCTTCTGTCTTGGCAATGCCCTCAACCTATGGCAACCTCAATCTGCATCAGAACCACCAGATTTTTTTTTACCTGGTCTTTACTGAAAATAAAACAACAAAGCAATGTCAATGCCCCTTGGCATCTTCTAATCAGTAACTTCTCTGTAACCAGACAATCACTCCCATAAATAAAACTCATTGCTCTTTCCCCATTAGTCAGTTCCTTACACAGACTGAGTTTCTTACAGGAACCCCCATCTAAACTAAATTATAATGTATCATGTAGAGTGCTTTAAAGGCTTTGCTGAAATAGAAATAGGTTTGATCCACTGTGTTTCCTTGCCTACAAAACAAGTTATTTTATCAAAAAGATATATCAGGTAACTCTGGTAGTAAGCATTTTTTATGAACTGTTGCATTTTAGCTCAAAATATTGGACCATCAATTATCCTGGCCTGGCTTTATTCCTGTTCCCTTCCCCTGGCCCATTCCTCTCTATGGTTCAGACAGACATTAAAACATTCCAAAAATAGTGTTCACAAGTACCAAACCTTGAGTAACAGATGCTGCTTATAATGAAACACCGTCCACCATACCTACCAGAGCAAGGTAATTCATTTTTCTCAGTTAAAGGATAACAAGTGTTATAATTTAATTAGACCAAGAAAGCCAGTTCACAAAATGGACATTCTGGCATTTCTAACTCATTTTAGATACTTATCAAAAAGTCTGCTTTGACAGATTTCTGTCAAGAGTTTTAAAAATGAGGGCTTTTTTGTTTGTTTTATGCTCCTCAGCTTCCGGACAATCCAAATAAAACACAAAGGGAGCATGCCAGCTCCTGCATGCCTACATCATGTGAGTATGGATGTGAACGTAGATGCAGGAAAATTAATCCCAGCAGTGAACATGGATTGATTTTCCAAGTAGAAAGGCATTCACAGCTCTGAATGAATGAAAGTAAATGATAATAAAAAGCTAACTCCCCGGGCCAAAATAAATAATTTTATGAAACAAGTAGATGGAATTGTAAGGAGGAAAAAACTCTCTCCTTTTAAGTCTTAAAAACAAAATTGCTTCCGTTGGTTTTGATCTGATTTAAGTTGTACTAAAGGTCAACGAACATTGGAACAAATGCTTCTAAATACTGTACCCAGTTTGGCTTTATTGTACGTAACACATCACACACTGATCTCACCAAAGTTACCAGCTGGGGACTTGCAAACCACATTTACCAAATAAGGCAAAATGCTTCATGCCTGAAATCCTTTCCCAGTTACCTCACCCAGCTTTTGCTCGTGTTTCTACAATAATTGCAGAGGTCATTTTTTTAAAACTCAGATGGAGTAAATCAACATGCTATCCAATGCAAAGCTGGGTTTGTGTAGCCTCTGGAGAGAACTCCACTTTATTTAAACTGAGTGTGTACAGAAAAGGAAGAACTGAATTATGTGCAATAAAAACAGAAGAGCAAGTAGTATAAATCAAGAAGAACAAGTGATGTAAAATCGTGTTTTACACGATTACAAAAATAAAATTGCAATTTTCATAGTGAAATTTGTCATTTATTTATAACACTTTCATTTTAATTTTTTTTTAATTGCTTATGTGTGGTGGAGCAGTGGAGGGGATTGTTTTTGCATCCAGCTGAATTTTATCTGGTGATTTAGAAAAGGAAGAAAAAAGCCCAGTGAGCACTTCTAAGCACTTGTTCTCATAATCTTCCCCTCACCAAAATCTGACAGTAGTACTAAAATAATTGTATACTATCTAACAATTTTTTTCTTCCAGAAATTTAGGGGGTTAACAGGGTACTACATTTAATAATTTCAAATCCAACTTTAAGGAAGACAATCCAACACTCACTACTGCTTATAAAATACACTTTTACAGTGTGAGAGTCTTTTCCAACCAGAACAAAACTTTGATTCTGTAATACTAGGGGAATAAATAGCTCAAACCAGATTCTTTAGATCAAAAAGTAACAGCTGATACATAGTCTATACAGCCGACGTGTTTAGAGAAGACCTCAAATAAAAAGTGACATTCTCAGGTCTGTGAAACTTGCTGCTTGATGTTGATATCCAAGCAACAAGAAAGTGTCTATATTTTTTTCTTGGCTATCAGTTCAGATAACCATAGAGGAGGTCAGAGAGCCAAATCTCTGTAAAAACCTTCATCAACTGCAGATAAATAACTAGCAAGCTCAACTCATCCAATATTTGTAAGGCTCCATCATAAATGCTCAAGGGCTGAGCCCAGTGGACAGAAGTGGAGGTAAGTGATCTGACTCTGTTTGCTACTTTACTGAGTTTCAGAAAGCCCAGATTTCTCTGCTGCTTCATACTGGTCTCATTATTTCTAGACCTTACTTTGCTATTTTGTAATTACTAGAAAATCAGTATTAAATGTAATTAATCTCTCACTTCTTTATGTTAATTCCATTTAGTTAAAGGCCAACTGTAATTGCCTCTGCTGACAAAAGTCAATTCAGAGGTGAATGTTTGTATCACAATCTGGGTTATGCAGGCAGTCTGAATCTCTAATTTTTGAGCTTGACAGTTGAACTCAATGAACAGTGCAAGTAATGCTGAGCTTATCTGACATTTTAGAAAACACTGAGCTGGGAGAGCTCTCTAAATGGTATCAGTGGGTCAAGCCAGTATCCTGGACTGCCCCAAACACACACAGTGCTGCTTAATGATGTACATTAGACACTGGTAAGCTGAGTCAGGCTCTCCTGAACTCACTCAGTACACTGTTGTGTGACCACAGACAAATAAAACCAATAATATTTTATCTGGAAGGGGTACGGAAAGTAAATCAGCTGTTGTGATATACTGAACAGAGAGGACCCAACTTGTCCTGTTGTGCCCTGCCTTCAACATTAATGTTAACGATTAAAAAAACCAAAGGAGTCACCTTCAATTAGATCATGTGTTGACACCTTCTGAGTGACATCAGAGATATGAATGTCCTATACTATTCTGAAGAGACCCCTGTGAATTGCCTGTGGATCATCTCTTTGGATGTACCAGGACAGTCAACAGTAATAATGCAGGTTAGGCTTTCAAACAGAGAGCTCTGTGAAGAATGATATCCCTTAAATTATAGAAATACAAAATGAAACAGTAACACAAAGAATTGAGCAATGCAACTAAAAACTACTGAAAACTAAAAATAATCTTGTGCTGGCATTCAACTCTCATTTGTGTAGCACAATAAATAAACTCCCAGCGCTGCATCTCACAGCAGCATATGGGTGGGACAAGAGAAGAATGCAGTTGTACACAAAAACATAACAAGAGGGTAAAGAACTACCATTTCAGAGAAATCTGACCTTGAGTTCACAGTAAAAATTCTTCTCGAGCATTTACTTAGTTTCTGTGCTACACATTCACAATAGCAGTACAAAAAGGTCTCTCCAATAGCTCTGTTCTTCTTCTGAGGTTGTTTGAGTACAGCACGAGCACAACCTCAGCTGTAACATCAAAGAAAGATTTTTTCATACCCATTTAACCTTACAAATGGAAAAATTTCGAGGAAATGTTATGAGTGCTAATACAAGATGCAAAATGCTTCAAAACTAACATATTTATGTAGACAGACAGACTGTTATGAACCATCTCTTTAATTTACTACTGCAGCCTTTATGGATCTCTCAGAGATTTTGATCAAAGCAGTCACTGATAACCACTTAAGACTACAGGATCAGACTGAAAATAGCTCTCCTAGACTAACAGTTCATTCCAACATCTTTTTCTCAATATATCTGATTTCCTGGGCTGACTACTGAACCCTTGTATAGACAACCTGTGCTGTTTCTCTAACACAGATGTCACACCTAACACCAGAGGACTGGCTTAAATCACCAACTGGAGCACTTCCACCATGGGAAAATCTCTGGGCAATATGAAGATGAATTACTCTGGTAATAAGAATCATTGCACTGCATCAGCTGTGTAAAGTGGAAAGGGAAACCAGAGACAGAAAGAGAATATGCCTAAAGCACATTGACTTCTTTCAGTTTTCATACAGAAGCCACTTCAGGGCCACCGCGCCCATAACAGCTGTTTGAACCCAGTGTGCAGTTCTGAGTTAACTGAAGATGCAACCTAACATAAATGCAGACACCAGAAGATAAACAGAACTCCAGATGGTAAGGCTGTGCAATAGCAGCAAGAGCTACACCCTAATACGCACATAGTCAGTCTTAAAACTCCATGTCTAAATCACCTCCTCTGAAGCAAATAATTTAGCAGAACTCACTAGAACATTAATGCGGATGGCATCAAGTCTGTTTGAATACAAATGTCTGTTTTCAGTCCAGCCTTCAAAATACAGTGATAAACTCAAATAAACATGAGAAAGTATTGCTTCCACAGCCACTTACTTTTGCTGCTCCTATTTGCTCTTTGCGAAACTTCTCCAGCGGTGCTATTAGCACATCATTAGCATTCTGGATCTGCAAAGTTAAACATAAAGTATATCTTTTAAAGTATTTGCAAAAAGTGGAGTTATTGTAACTCTACCAATGTGCAAGACTGAAAAAATGCATGTTCATAACCTTCCAGCAGGAGTATATGGGTAGGAGTAAATAATTATGTCCTCTTTATGTAAAACATACAACATGCGTTCACTGGTCTATTATGGAACATTTCCATTAATAATCCAAGCAATTTAAATGAACAATGTAGTAAGTTTATCTGCAACACAGAGAAGGGTTTTCTGGTATTCCAATTCTATTTCTTGCATCTTGCCTAAAACCAGAATAGAAAATGAAAACTTCCAGGAACATGTTTTGGCAGAACAGAAAAGATAAACATAGTAGTACTGACAGCACTGGCTAAAAAAGCCTGTGTTTACAGAATTTGAATACTTGACAGCTGAATCTTCTGGCTATCTCTTTGGATTATATACCTAATTATACTGAACAGAGGCGAGTAAGACAGACAACCCTAAAAATAAAAATGGATCATTTACAAAATACTGTAGATTGGATTTTTTCACTTTTCCAGTTTTTAAACTAATTTAAGATGTCCTGCAGCTATTTTTATCAATTTAACCTAAACCACAGTTCCTAATGAATCACAGTTTTCCCCTTTTGGCCTTTGTTTATTTAGTTTAAATCCAGTCCTGGGAACCCCTCTCTGAAGATCATTCCCAGTAGCAACCACTCAAACTGGTCCCCCATCATTTGGCCTGGAAACACATATGCAGCAGAAGACAAATGCCAGCCATGCCATCGTGCCACTCACTAAAAAAAGGCACAACTTCACCATATGCCTTTTAGGGGCAGGCAGAATCATGAACTAAATTAATTTTCATGCTGAAAAATTTTAAGAAACTGCCAACCCATCAGAAATAAAGCGTAACATAACAATATTTTATTATTCTAACTACAGGCAAAATTTTAGGTTTTCTGCATGAATAGCTTTTTTTCTCCTCTCCAGTCCAGTCTTTACCATACTCATCACATTCCACATTTGGTCTTTGGCAGGTTTAGAGGTCTGGGCAAAGCCAACATGTATCTAAGCCAAATGTGAATGAATACAGCTCTTGTGAGTCTTCCATAACAATAATTGATAAGTTACACTGTCAGTTGAGCACGAAAACTTCCCAAAAGTCTGTAATAAGAAACATATAGAATAAACCCATTGAAACACAAACACATTTTCTTTCCTCCCAAACCTAACATTGCAATTCGAAAGACCACAGAATCACCACATTTCTCTCAGAAGGGCAGAGTTTCAGGAAAAGCAGAGACTCTCTCCAACATCCTAATGTAACAAAGTCCAAGACAGAAAAGGCAACACTTGACATGCTTGATGATGCAGTGATCAAAATGGGCTACACTTAAAAATCAGGTACCAATAAGAAGCTGGGTATTTTCAATGCATTTGAGATACTCCATCAGTCTGCCTGATACAGACTACAAAGCTATACGCTGTTCTCCAGGTGGACACTTCCCCAAAATATATAGACTTTTAGGCAACATCTAGCAATCTGAGACTCAACACTTTCTACAAGGCACAGTGCATGCACTGAAAAGGTAATTTCTATCCTAAGAATCACTAAGCAAAGCAGATTAAAATGAACAGGGGTACAAAACTGTTAAGTGACTTGCCCTCAAGCAGCACTGCATACATCACGAGGTAGCAGCTGGAAGTTTCGGTAGGTTACAGAGCATGTAACAAGGCGTTTGGCACACAGAGAAAACATGAAGGCTTGCTGGAGTCACTGGTACAGAAGTCTGGATGCGTATTTTCTTTCTTCTTCATGTACAACATGTTTTTTTCACTGCCTTTTAGAGTCATTGTTATATACAGCAAGAATATGTTAAATATGCTGCAGGTTAATTAAAAGAGATATTAATGTTACTGAAAAATATACTATTGATATCAGTAATTGCTGCTAGTCCTGTTGATAGCGATTGTCAGTCAAACTAACTCCATGTGGAGCTGAATTTGGCTTTTTCCTTCACTCAACACTACCACATTAAGGCAGTCCACACCACACCAGGAGACCTCACTTCATATACTGTCCTCTTGACAGCCTTAACAGACTGAAACACAACTCCTACCAGTCTCATTCAACGCTGCTGCAAAGTAAATGAAGTATCTTGCTTCAAACATTGTGGAAGAACATATTCATAGGAGGCATATGGCACGGAGAGGAGTCCTCTGGGAATTAAGTGGCTTTGCTGGGCTGATTCACAATGTTATTCACTCTCACAATTATATATGCAAGTAGGAATGGATAGCGTGTATCAAAAAGCTAAATAAAAGGTGTCAAACACTTCATCTAGACAGAGTCTGTGCCTCTGAAAATCTGCTGAGCCACATGAATGGAACATGAGGCAACCTCACTCCTGGACTGAAAGCTTTTTCTGACAAGAGCCTTGATATGGCAGTTCACATACCAGCAAAACCAGGAGCCAAGCAAATAATGAGGTTTTGCTTTGGGGAAGGAGAACACAACAGCAAAGTGCTAGAGAGAATCCCAACGAATGCATTTCAACAGCTGGTATTACAAGATGCAAAACGCTCTGCTGTGAAAACACTCCCAATGATTTACACCAGGCTGTGCCCTGCTTTTGGAAACTGAAAAGTATAGAGAAAGAATTATTTTTGTCTTACACATGCATTTATTAATTTCCTTTCATTGCCCATTCTTATCACTGCAATTACTTTACAGTTTCCTTGCTAAGTGTTACAAATCAGCATTCGGCCCTTTCCTGAACCTCTCCCTTCCCGACCTGGGAATTTAATCCTCCCACAACCATTTCTATAGAAATCTGATTGCTTTAGAAAATCTGAAATTTTCACTGTGTGGTCCTAATAGAGTAACTTTCTTCCTGCCAAGTTGATGATCCCTCTCCTACTCAGTTTCTGTGCTAGGTTGGAATCACAGACACTTGGAACAGGCAAACAACATCCAAAAGACAGTAATGGATTCTGTAAATGGCAATTTCAGAAATCCATGTTGTGTTTAAAATACAGATCTTATCCTTAAAAGCTTATTCAGATTAGTCACACCTTTAGAGAAATTACACTTTCTTGATCCAACAATTATTCAGTGCCACATGGTTCCAGCTCCCAGCATGGCTAATACGTGGCAGTCAATCAAATAACGTGATCACTTCTCTTGTTTGGCAAAAGCACCAGTGTTCCTCCAGAAAAAGAATGCAGAAAGAAAATAAAAAGAATCATGCAGTTTTGTGTTAGTCTAATAAGTTTTAATTAAATGCTAGACAAGCATTAGGCAGACATAAGAAGAAAATATTGCTTTGACAATTGAGAGCTGTATTAGGTCTAGTAAAAAAGAACTTAAAGAACTTAATGGACTTTTTAACTTTAGTATGTATAACACCCTCTATTTAGCATAATGGATAAAATAATACTAAAATAAAGACCACAAAAATTACACTGAATTTGCAAAAATATACTTGAAAAAATAAACATTTTAAAAATTGAAAATATTTTTCCTAAGCTAGCTTTGACAAATTATGAGGCCATTCTCTGTTTGCATAACTGCAACATTTCGCTGCACTCTCACAGCCTTTGAGCCAATGTGTTGAAACACCTTAATTTGTCTTTTCTGATTCATGATTTTCCAACTTTACAACCCACCTTCCTTCCAGAAGTTAGCTGTAAAATTGAATTAATGTACCAGTAATGAGATTAAAATGTTGTTTTCACGCACCACAGAGAAACTCCACATCTATATTTGAATACATTTTTGGCTAGCAATTTGTTAAACCTTTCTTTTTTGCTAGAAGTTTCAGTCATCAATAAAATAAAAAGAACGAACATCACCTAACATATCTTTGTGAGAATCATAATCATTAGACTACGTTGAAAAGGGAAGAACATTTTTTTTAACATATCAGAATATTTCCATTTCTAGATTTTCATAAATTTAAGTCAATGTTAATTTTTCTAATGAGTTTTCCAATTAGTTTTTCAGCTCTGAAAGTGAACATGCATTATTCTTCTTCATCTTCTTTTACTTAGGCAGGACCAGTGGAAATAAACTGAAATTCATCTAAAATAGTGATGATTAAATTTCATTATTAAATACTAACAATATAAACACAGAGAATTTAAGTCCTGAAGCACTTTACAAGCTTTGAGCTTCACCTGGTTATCTACACTGTTGAACTGAAGTGGCAAGAACAGTTAATACTGTTTTGGGTGTTATATTTTCACTTGTAGAGCTAAGGACTAAGTAGGTCTCAGAGAGAATAAATTTAAAAGGATTCAGAATTTTCAGAAGACAGCAACAATATCAAGGCACTTTTGTATTGATGGAGTTAGGAATTCAATCAAGCTTATCTGAATTACAGGAAAATTCTTTAACTATAAAAAATTTTTGGTTTATACATTGTATCTGTATTTGCTCCAAATCTGTTACGAGTACTTTCCACTGCAACACAGTTATCACACTTGCATATGGAAAAGAACTCATTTCCCTGAAGTACTGAATTACTTCTGAATTCCAAATGCTGACAAACACCAATTTGTTTCTTGTTGGTGTAAGACTTCTAGAAAATACCAATTAAATTAATTCCATGAAGGCAACAAATCTCATAGCTAATATATTCATAGTAGTGCATTTCTCATGTAGAAATAGATTGCTCTGCTAGACAAAGAGAAATAATTTAATTTTAAATCCTTCTCCCAATTTGTAAAAAGTCCTAACATCTGATCTGTTAGACAAAAAACACTTCTTTCAGTCTGTGGCCTGTATCAACACTTCCTAATCAATACAACTTGAAATACAACAGCAGAAACTAAATACAGACAACTAGGCATTTGTGTAGCTTTGTTATGTATAAGGTCTACACCCTACAAAGAATATAAGTATGTCATGTTAAAGCATTAATCATGTATTTAAGTCTTCAGTTTCTATTTTAAAAGTTTGAAAGTGTAAATATTACCTAAAGTTAAAAAGAATATCAGT